ACTACTCACATATGGCTACCCTCACTCTAAAAGTAATTTATTAGACATAGTCTGGCTCTGACATACAGATATACATATAGGGTGATTCAAAAAAGACACCTATTTTTTTTCCTTTTTCCAAGGACCGGCTTATAAACCAGCCAAAAGTAAAAATAAAAACATGTTGGTTGGTTATTGAAAAAATGTGTTATGAGTTCCTCGCGACAAGCAGTGGAAAAGGACCGAAAACAAAAACAAAACTGAAAAAAAATGTAGGCCGATTGATGGAAACAAGAGTTTTGGGTGTGTTTCAGTTTTCTTTTTGTTTTTCAAGTTCCAGAAAACAAAACTCAACTGTCCGTTTAGTGAAAAACCATATTTAAAGGACTTAGGTACACTCAAAGCTTGTGTGTGACTATTTGGAAGCCCTAACAGAGCTGGGTAGTCAAAACAGACTAACGTTAGCCTGGCTACTACACAGGACATAAGGACAATCAAGATGCTGATTCACTAGTCCGAGAAGGATATTTAAAGGCTCATATCGGCCCAGAACCTTTCTGTGGTGTCACAAAGACAGCTATCAGAACATGCACAAAACAGTGGACGTTACAAAATCTCAAAAAAGGTGGAACAATTCACCAAGACAGAAACAGGCCACAAAGAGTTCATAAGAGGATTATCGCCAAAACTCACCGAGCATCTTCTAAGCCAGGCCTACACGACTGAAATTTTCAAAGGGCCAGTTCAAAAAAACCGTAGGTGTACGAGGTCCATGGATGTAATTTTTTTGTGGAGGGGGAGGGGTGCAGGCGAAGGACTTTGAGGCTCAAAAAAATTCATTTATAGTTTATTTTCAAAAGTTGTTTTTTAAATAAAATAAACATTATTTATTAAGTTTTATTTTAAATACTTACATCAGAGTTTTATTCAGTAAAGCTTTTCGTGTTTTACCACATAATATATGATTTGATATCTATTAAGGCAATTAATAAATGCAATTTTGTTACTAAACAATTTATAGTTTGATGTAGACGGGCCAAATTGGTAAAGGGACAAAGGGCCAAGAAAACGCCAAAATACGAGAGTGCTACTAGGCCTATTAACATGGCATTGTAGGCTTAACAAACATATGTAACATAATATAAGTCTAGCAGAAGAGACCTTGTGCCGATTATGTTAGGAAGAGGAGGAAATTGCAATACAAGCATTGTGATACTGCAAGAGTCTATCAAGACTGATATTCCTTACACTCTGAGAAGAAAAAACACGGGCAACTAGCTATGCCGGAGAACTACTTCATAGTCTATGGAGTCTACTACAAAAACCTAAACTAGACAAAGTACTCTAAACAACGATTAAAGAATATCCACAATTGATCTGCAAAGGTCGAGGTTAGATTACCCCAGTGACGGATTTAGGCTTGCTGCCGCCCTAGGCCCCGTTCGATACACCGCCCTTTTTGATAAAATGAATTTCATTAATTTTTATCCAATATTTTTATTTTAAAGTCAAACATGTCAGTACCTGTCAAGCGTAGCGTTTTTGTTTTCTGTAAACATGTGAATACACACCCGAGCTACTTATAAGTCTCAATAATGCACAATACTCCCGCTTCACTGAAGTTATTGAGATTACGATCACATAAATAAAACACTCAGATAATAAATAAAATTCTTAAAACTTTTTATTTATATTTATAATAACCACATAAATGTAACCATATCATAAGTCGACCGTTTTAATATACATCAGCTCACATACTTTAATTTAAAAAATTTCGAAATTTTTGCACTTGGATTTTCAGAAATTATTGAAATTTGTAGATGTATTTGAAGATTTTGCAAATATGAGAAATATCGAATTATTTTTTTTTTATTTTAGATAAAACTTTCAATTTTTTAACAGTTATTTTGATGATTTAAAAAATTGAATATGGAAAAAGACAGGATTTATTTTTCATAAAAAATTATTTTTATAAACAAAAAATGTTCTGACACTTTTAAATGAATATCATAACGATATCCAATACCCCTGAATAAAAAAAAATATTGAGACAAAGAAAAAAGTATTGAAAAGTATTGGATTGAATAGAAAACCAATACTTTTTTCTTTATGTTAATACTTTTTTTTTAATCAGGTACATGCAAATCTTCGGTATTTTTATTTCACACTATAAACAAATAGAGAAGTCATTCGGATTTAATAATTTCAAAATGTTTCATACACGTAAGATTAATCTCACTAAAGGAACAAAAAGTAAAGAATATGACTCGATAAAGACTATAGTTGATCGATTAAAAAATTAATATGTTACCCATACAGATTGAGAAGTAAATTAATGAATTGAATTATAATATTTTTAATCGAATTTTTTTTATAAAAACTAATCTGAACCAATTTTTGAAATTGATTGTCGTTACTTTTTTGTGCCTCTAAAATTTTGGCATTTCATAAATTTTGCCGCCCTTCAAATTATGCCGCCCTAGGCCCGGGCCTCACGGGCCTAGGCGTAAATCCATCACTGCATTACCCACAACAAGTTATTGTTGGAAAAATAATTTAAATCCGATGAAAAATTTATTAAATTGTATTGGAATAAAGTATGATTATTTTAGTAGTGAATATATTTTTTTTTATTTTAGTAATGATAATGTGATTTATTTACTTACCGGTAGTCAATTTCGACATATATATCATATTGTTATGAAAATGATCTCATTTTATTTAAAAAAAAATTGTTATCTAGTTATTTATTTGTAAATGTATTGAAAGTAATATAAAGTAAAAAAACAGTTATACGTGTTTATTCGACGAGCGAAAAATGTAGTTGCGCACGCAGATAAATTTTGGTCATTTTTTGGCCAAGCCCACTTTTTATAAGAAGAATTTTTTTAATTATTTATTCAAAAGTAAACTATTTCAATTTTTCATGTAAAAAAGCATTCCGCAAAACCGAAATGTAATTACCTATATTTATTTATTTTTTGAACAACATAAATATGGTAAATCCCTATTACAATAAAAAAATATTAAAAAATAATTTAAAATATAATACATTAATTTACAACTTTCATTTAAAAAAAACAAGTCAGTCAAATGACAAGAATTAAAAATCATTATAGTGTCCCTTATCTGACTGCAAAAAGTGGCGTGTCATGTTTTTTTGTTTGCTATAGTAGTAGAAAAGAGGGGAGGGGGTAAAAAACAGCTATGTCCCGGTGGTGGGGGCTGTCGTGAAACCAATCAAATTCAATAAAATTTTTCGTATCGATGGGTTTTTCGTATTTTACTGGCAAATAAATAATTTGCTTTTAGATGTCCATACCAATAAAAAAATTCCTTTGCAAGCATTTTTCTGTCATCCGGTTTAGCTACTATCGATGCAGGAAAATTCACCTTCATCGAAAGTAGCAAAACCAGACGATAAAAAATGATTTCAAAGGGATTTTTTATTGTTATAGGCGTCTAGAAGCAAATTATTTTATTGCGACCAAAAAACATCATTTTAAATTTGAATGGTTGCACGACAGCTCCCGCCTCCGGGATATAGTACACGTTGTCCACTTCCCTATACCCAACTATAAATAGCAAGAAAAAAACACGACGTGCTACATTTTCCAGTCAGATGAGGGACTGTTATGAATTAATGAAAATATTCAAAATATCAAAACAGTATATTTTTTGCAAATAGAATATCTAAATATACTAAATTTGCACTTCTTTGCATTAATGTTAGAGGACTGAATAAGCCATAATTAGTTCTGTGAAGTGCAATAGAGAATAAATAATTTTGATTAATAGGTATATCTTATTGGTACTCCAAATAGAATGGGTTCTAAATTCTAAAAGTTGGAAAAATACCTGTATCCCTTCGAAATATTCTACACATTCAAGATCCATTAAATTTAATAAAACATTATGATCATAGTTGCCAAATACTCAACCTAATCTGAATGCACAATACAATTTGTGTTGAACAGGCTCTATAACGACCTAATATGTACATCATAAAATTGAGATCAAATTGGCAACCCATATATTCCAATAATCACCAACATAAACCAAGTAAACTTTTTAATGGAATTCAATCAGAGGTTGTTCGAATTCCTTAAGACAAAACCTAAAGTTTTGATAACTTTATTTATTGCATGGGTGGTATGAGGAACAAACGATAGAATTAGTTTTTTTTGTATACAATTTCCCATACAAAATTTTCAGTAGAACATTAAAAATACAAAACATACTATTTTGTTATTTATAAAAACTAATTTGCGCAAACTTTGACTAGGTCCCTTGGTTGTCTTTTATTAGCAACACAACAGAATATACACATATAGCTGCTTTTGTGGTAAAAGATTGCCTCTACTTTTTTTGCTTATCAATCCTAAACTTCTCTGTTCAATGCAGTTCTTAAAAGAACGAATAACACGCGGTTAGAACAGGGTTGACACAGATTTTTTTGCGCCCATGTATTTAGGTTTTTAAAACCTAATAATCAAAAAACCTAAGTACCTAGATAGGTACTAATTTATTTTTTAATTCATAGGTTTTTTCAACCCTGGTTTAGGATTTCTAGTAGATTACTCCAATAGGTTTTCTTCAGAGAAGTTTTTTCTGAACGAAACTTAAGCCAATTATAGTACAGGAGTAGAAAAAAAATATTCTTTCAGATGTAGGTACATTTCCACTTTCGGCTGAAAATTTCCCTAGAAGATATATAGAGGATCTGTAAGTTATTTCGGGGATACAAATACATCAAAATTAAGATTATAAACTGTCGATATCGTTATTCGCACATTTTTAGATTATTTAAAAAAAATCTGTTTATTATCCGGTTGTTATCAGTTTTAAAATTCTGTATATTAACACAATCAAATGCATGCGATTTATTCACGCAATATGTTTTTTATGGTCTACTCTCCGTCATCCAACGTGGAAATTCCTACATTTCCAAAAGCCGGGTTTCGATTGTGCGTACACGCAACAAGCAACTAATTGTAGAAAGTGAAAAGTTGAATTACCTCTATGTTTCCCATCGTTTGAAAGGCCGTAAAGATCAACATAAAGGCCAATCCGAGCAGCAAAACATTTAACAAACTTTTGTCAATCATTTTATACAACACACTCGAACCTAATCTACTGACATTAAAATTTAAACTTTCACTAAAGAGTACGTTGACTGACGGTGTTTACATGGCTATATATTTATTTTATAAAATCAAAATGAAACAATTTATCTTATGCCTGCTGGTGGGAGTACTGAAACGTGGTTCTGGGTTCCGTAGAGTAATAGTCTAGGTGGTGGTAATCTTAAACACAGGCACGGATTCGCCAGATTAGTATCGCTAAGTTTTTAATTCAAATAGCCACCACAGAGTAGTGGCACTTTAAACGAAAGGGTGTTGGGTGGAGTGTCATTTGTCATATTAATTTTGTGGCTTGGTTCTAAAGTCAAGATTTTGTAAATATGAGATATACATAAGAATATTTAAAATTAGTTAATTGTAGATGTTAAAATTAACTAGAACTTCAAATGAACAACGAGAATTTGCATCAGTGCTATTAACATGTTCGATGGTTTTCATAAAGTCTCTATTTATGCAACCAGTTACAACACTTGCTCCGCTTACAAAAAATGTAACTTTATATATCAAAACGTTCTTTATTTAAATTATAGAATTCTGAAATTTTGCCCTTTTAGAAACAATTCAAACAATACATTGTTTCAAAGTGAGTATTTCGTAAATTATTGTTTATTTTATTTGTTGAATTGGCCCTGCTCAGTTGAGTTTTGAGTTTTAAATTGTTTAGTAGATCTAGTTAACAATGGTGAGTTTGTTTTTATATTATAATTATTTTCGTTGTGATCTTTTGGTTAAAATATGCCTCGCTTTCCTATGCCCGATCGTAATGTTGAATTATTTAATATTTGTTTAGTACCAATTCACAACCTATTTTTTAATAAAAAAAAGCTACACATTCATGAAAACGAATTTATAAAAAATTTCTAGTTAATATTTGACAAAGAAAGTCAATAGAAAAAACAGAAACCATTAACTGATAAGTGATAAATACCCGAGCACCAAACCGCACAGAGGTCAAGAGATAGGCGATGTGATTATAAATTAATTATGAACATTTTAAAAAAACAAAGCAAATGGAGAAAAATTCAAAGTCCGTGTCACAGGAATAACGACCGATCGTTTCCCTTCTGAAAACTACTACTTCTTTGGCTAATACAGCAATAAGTATTGCATTATATCAAAATGAACATAGCACCTAATTTTGATTTTTCTTGCCAAGGAGAACGTTATTATTTGACCGGTTTCATCAGCAAGAAATAGACAATCTGAACTCCAGTCAGTGTTGCCGCAACCAAATATGTTGATGTACCAAACAAATTTGCTAAAATGTACCCAAATGTACCCAATTCTGAATACAGTATGTTCGCTATACTTACGCGGGTTTCGAATTAAAATTTTTATTAGTATTTCCAGATAAGTACCCGAAAGTTTGACCTGTACTTTGGGGAAATATCAACTGGTTAAATGAAATTAAAAATAATGTACAACTTTTTAATTAAATAATAATGGAGAATCTTTTGTATGATTCAGAGCAGAATTAAACTTCTTCATTAATGGAGTCTAATGTGGCTATTATAAACCTAATAATAATTTTATATTACACTTCACACAGAAAATATGGTCTATGTATAATAAGAGGGTTATTTAGCTCAAATAAAATATTTTATAACAAAAATTTGTTCCATGTAGAGAATTTCAAATGAAAAATAAAAAAGCCCACACTTAATCCCTACTACTCACATATGGCTACCCTCACTCCAAAAAAAAAAAAAAAAAAAAAAAGTAAAAAAATTGAACTTGCCAACAAAAATGAAAATCAGTCATTATCATCCAAAATATCATAATCGTCATCATCATCACTGTCATCACCATTAATTGTTATTATGATTGAACTTATTTCCTTTATTTTATTTTCACGAGTCCACCAATCTTCTATTAGTTTCTCGCACTTGGATATACAGTTCCGCCACACTTCTGGAGTTGCAATTGAAAGTGCTTTTCGCCAATTTTCCCAAACTGCGTCGTCACTATAACCATTAGGCCCAATATGGTTGTCATATTATTATTTTGCTATTCCCCATATATATATTCGATGGGATTAAACTGGCAATGATACGGTGGCAGACGTAAAACTTGATGACCGTAACTTTCAATAATCTGATCCACAACAGAGGTTTTTGGTTTTGCCAAGCCTAATAATTCTGATTTTAATATATATTCCTTTGTCAACCATTCTTAAATGTTATCAACAGTCCAAGAATTCGTTGGGCTTTTGTTTAATACTTCAGAATGGTAAGGTGCATTGTCTAAAATAATTACGCTGGGCTCACTTAAACCTGGGAGAAGCTTTTCATGCAACCATTTTACAAACATTTCTGTGTTCATATTATCGTGATAGTCACTGGATTTTGATTTAGATGAAAATATTAAAACAGCACATTCTATAAAACCCGATTTCCCTCCTGCATGTAAAATTATGTGTCGCTTCCCTTCTCCATCGGTATGTTTGATGGACTTTACGTTATCATCTTGCCATATTCTCTTGGTTGCACCCCTAGAAAATATCCATGTTTCGTCTAAATATATAAAATTCGCCCCTTCTTCTTTAAATTTAGAATATTTTCTTAGAAAGTTAATTCTCTTGTGCACGACAGAACTTCTTTCACAAAGGGCCTTTCTGTTATCCTCCTTTAGAAATTTGAAACCCAAGTTATGTATCACTTGCCATAGACTTATTCTGCCAATGTCGTCAAATTTTCTATCTATTAATTCCGAGAGAATTGTATTTAAGGTCACATGTTCCTTGTTGGCCCTCGATAAATGGTATCAATTTCAAATTTCTTTCCATCTGGAATATATTTCGTTTTCAATGATGGGCGAGTTTTGCGGTGATCTTCTTTCGGCAGTTCACTATTGTGATTTTGTAATACTCCTCTTAATTTGGTTTCACTAATTCCTAGAGCAATACGCGTTGTTGTACAGACCTTACCGATTTTAAAGGACCGCCATTTTCTTTTTCATCCGTAAAATACTTATGTACACTACAAATTAGACTATCTACATCTAACACACGTCTAGGCATTTTTAAAATTTCCACTAAATTTACAATATAGATACAATGTCAACATTTGCAAAGAATCAATTCAACTGCAATATTTGTAACAAATTTAGTACCTATCCTAATGTTATTTTAATTTAAATCTGACCATTAGGGCAATTTTACCTAATTTCTTGGGAAGAGGCTTATTGGAACTGGTTGACAATGACTAATTTGCATAATTTTGGTAATCCGAAACCCGCGTAAGTATAGTGAACAGACTGTACGTACAAAATTCATATATAAATGTCTTTTGCTTTCAAAAAATCTAAATCCAATAAAACAAATATTACATTTTTAGTATAGGTAATATAATAAAATTGCTCTTAATAAGAACAATTTATACAGTGTGTCCAATTAAGTCGGAACTATATGGGAAACTTTTTTATTCTTAGTTTTATGAAAAAAGGCTTTATAAAAAGTTATGCATGGTCCAAAACTTATAATGCAACCATCAGATATCATTTTTTTTAGCTGTATACGAGCGTTTGTCAAAAAATATGAATATGAAGAGTAAAGTACCTTTATTTTTGGAAAACCTCGTATATGACTAATAAAATTTGATATCTAATTGTATTTGAGATTTTAGACCATGCTCGACTTTTTATGAAGAATAACTTTTTCATTTACTATTAATAATAAAAAAGTTTCACATATGCCACCAACTGTCTACGTAAAGGCGGGTACAGATCTGAGCACGTACGCGTATGAGGCAAGCCGAGGATGCATGATGCATGAGCATGCAGTTGTGGACGGGCTTCCGAGGTGCGGCAAATTGCCTCGTTGTGTGCGCCGTACGGCCTCGCCCCGATCGCGTAAATAGAAAACCTACTTAATACGTCCCCCAGGCAGTGACCAACTAGACTAGGGTTTCTATTCTATGCGTTAATCGTGCAGAAAACCTACTTGAATATATCATCGGATGGTGCCGTATTGGAGTAGGATTGCGCGTTATTACGCTGCCTAAACATGCGGAAATACTACTTCAGTACAACCCGTGTTTTCTTGCGTAAAAAAACATACATGTATTTGCATAGTTTATTAATATTTGTTGTCATACTGTAAATTATTTTTAATATTGAAGGCTATATTATGGGGTTGCATTTTGGCACCTTAACTGAAATAGGTATCTTTAGCTATTCGGCGTGAGGTAGTTGTGGGTTGTTTCCATTTGGCAAATTACTGTAGATGTAAGTTTTATTTAGTAATAATTGATAATCAAGTGGCGACATTCTTATCTGTAAGTGTGGTGCTATTTGCATCGTTTATTATTGTTTTTTGGCACACTGTAAATTATTCTCAATATTGAATGCTATATTATGGGGTCGTTTTTTGGCGCCTTTGCATTCTAACTTCGCAGGACGTCCAGCTTAAATTCTTCCTCCTGAAATACCTCTAGCTTTTCGGCGTGAAATAGATGTTGTTTGTACTTAAATTTTTCTTGACCTCCTACTGGATGTTTTGTGACATACAAATGACATGATCTGTGATGTGGTAGAGTTTCTAGTATAGTGGCAAATTTCTGTATATAAAAAAGTTCTATATAGTAATAATTGATAATCAAGTTGCGAAATTCTTATCTGTAACTGTGGTATATGGCTCGTATTTGCGTCACTTTGTAAAACTTGAAAATTTGTAGCTCGAATGAGATTACCAAAGGTCAAAAGGAAAGAATCCGAAAGGATTGTTAGGGAAATGGAGGAAGCCAGGGTGATATAACCTACCAGCCCTTGGGTCTCTCCGGTAGTCCTGGTTCAGAAAAAGAATGGAACTACGAGGTTCTGTGTGGACTACAGTCAATTGAACAATGTTACAAGGAAGACCTCGAATCGATGATATCTTAGTCATGTTGGCCGGAAGTAAACTATTCGCTGCTTTAGAATTGAAGTCTGGATAGGCAGGTGGAAATGGACCCAGTAGACAAAGAAAATACAGCTTTTACCACCGCATCTGGACTATATAATGTCTCTGCGACATTTGAAAGACTTATAAAAAAAGTATTGTGAGTGTTATCCTGAAAAACATGCCTGGTGTATTTAGACGACATCATAGTCTTGGGAAAGACATTTGACGAATACCTATCTAAAGAACTGTTTTTAAAAGACTTCAAGCAGCCCAAGTGATGCTATACCCTAAGAACTGCCAGCTCTTTTAAAATAATAAAAATGACCTGGGTTATATAGTCAGCAAGGATGACATGGCTGTAGATAAAGTAAAAATCGCTTCCATTAAACAGTGGCCACAAACCAACTGATAACCACCAAATAAGAAGTCTTGGACTCTGAAGGTACTGCCGAAGATTCATAAGGAAGTTTGCAGATATTGCTAATCCATTAACACAACTCACAGAAGAAGCGAGATAATTCTACTTGGACGAAGACTACCAAACAGCCTTTGAAACTGAAGACGCATTTAACCACAGCGCCAATACTAGGCTGCCCATTACCATAGTTTAATAAATATTCATTAGGCTATGCCATTACCAACGAGATAATTTATTCTGGACACCGATGCTACTAGTAATGTGGGAATTGGAGGAGTGCTTTCACATATTCTATTATCCAAATTTCAAATAGTTTTCTTTGGGAAAAATCAAAATGAGAATTTTGGTTTTTACTGTATCTAATGACCAGTGGCGGCTTGTAACCCAGTCTACTTTTGAAAGGCACTTAATAGGTCTTTTCCTTTGCATCGAAAGTGTAGCACTGAGCTACACCACTTCTGAAAATATCGTTCCATTTATACAAAATGTATGGATAGAACGATATTTTCAGAAGCGGCATAGCTTAGTGCTACACTTTCGATGCAAAGGAAAAGACCTATTATATATAAAATATTAGACATACACTATAATAATTAATATACATATTTCTATTACACTATAAAAAGGAGACATTCATTTTACATTCAAAGAATACTGTTTTTTAATACAAAAACTGCTGATAGAAGCATAAATTAATATTCTTGAATTTAGAAATATAATAAAAAGCTCTTCGCTAGTATTAATATGTAACCAAACATACATCAACGTATGTTGTATTGCCTAGTTTTAGCCTTTCCTCGTTTGCAGCCAGCAAGCAGTCTGTGAATAGGTCACGAGGAACGGTAAATTTGTAGCTTTGAGTGTATTTACAACAAAAATACTGTTCATTTTGAGCATGTAAAGAAAATTGTTGATTCTTAATTATTCGTTATATTTTACACCGGTATTAAGGTTTCGATATATCGTTTGAAAGAAATATAAATTTTGCCATCCCTAGTAAGTGGGTACATTGTCCTATGGATATAGTGCAAAAAGTATTAAGACATTAAGAACATCTTCCACTGCGATCCCATGACTAGAATGTATTGTACTTATCACTGCATTTAAATTAAGAGTAGAATTGGTATTTGGAATGGCAGAAAACTACAACTTCTACGTCTTCTACTCACCCTTTCAATTAATCAGATTACAAGTTCAGATATGGTAACAATAAAAAATCTTATTTTTTCAGATATTTATTTATTTAATTAGCTAAAAAACATTCTACAGAAATCGATTTAATAAATTTTTCAATAATTCTTTTTCCTATGATAATGCACAATTAAAAGAATAAAATTAGATACATATAAATAATCTGAAATAAATATTTATAAACTATAATTTAAAATATATATTACAATTCATAAGTCTTGAAACTAGGTTTCCACTCAATCTTAATCATATAATAAGGTGTCAAATGTTGATGTCAAAAATAATTCCATAAATTAGTGAAAAACTTTAAATTGAAATAAAAAATGTTATAAGTTTTTATAGTTTAACAATTTGTTCTATTTTCTACATCTATACGTAATATTCGACACTAAGGTAAGATGGCAGCATCAATTTTTTTAATTATTGCATTTTGGCATATATAAATGTAAAAATTAAATTAAATTGTTAAATTTTTATCGGTTTTGTTGTAAAATTAGTCCAACTCAATTTTGACAAAATAAAATCTCTTTGATCTACTTATGATTTCGACACCTTACTATAAACTTACGATTTCCATGTCCATAATAGTCTTCAGAGTATTTTGTATCTTTACACTAACTAATCCACCAGTAAACTTTCAGATGGACCACTTAGACAAAAGTTACATCATTTACCCTTAACATTATTAACATAACAAATGTTAATATTTAATTTTATTGCATTATTAGTAACAATATTTAAAAAGGTACTAACAATTTTCTTTAGAAGAATTTTACGTTTTTATTGATTTTCGTTTTTTTTTTTGATAAAAGATTTGGCTAACTATACATCATGTTCCCGAATTGTAGGACATTTTTATTTGATATATAAAAATTCGTCCAAGTGGCAAATATTTTATTTATTATTCTACAAGACGTATAAATCTTATAAGATAATACATTTGGTTATTAAGATAGTAGGGAGCATTCGTCTATTTTTTTACTTTAAAATCCAAAACTTTATAAATAATTTCTGTTTATAAAAAGTATATTGTAAAACCAAAGATCTTTTATTGGCGTTGGACTTATTTGTCAATTTTTTTTTATAGGCAGTTGCAAAAAGGTTCATTAAATTGTATGGGTCTGATAAACTTTGACAGTGATCTGTCTAAATGTCATCTATTGAGACCTACTTATGTTAAGACCCATTTGATGATAATTTAAGCAAATAATAGAATGTTGTATAAAAATGGATAAATAGCAATGCACTAACTAAATTTATGTTTACTACAGTAATGATAACTGAATTTCCTATCTAGATAAAAGGTCTTTGTTAAATTATTAAATTATTTTTTTATAAACAGAATAGGCCGGTAATCACTACAATTTTTTGTGTCGCTGACAACTTCAGCTGTCCAATAGTATATACAAAAAATTTACTTATCCCAATTAAGCCCCCTACTTCTTAAGTGGAAGATTTTTTTAATACGACTGAAATGTTTTAAAAAATGGTGTTAAAACAATGATTGCCCAATAGGATTATATTAAACACTAGTAGTAGAAAAACATTTTCTTCATAAGATTCGACATACTGCGAGTATTTTAGACCTTAGTTTACCTTCAATTCTAGGATAGATAAAGGCACCAGTACAACTGATTTTTCAGTAGGAGTATTTAGTAAGTATGCGGCGTGAGACAAGTGATAATCTGTTAAGTTTCAGAAATTCAGAATTTTTTTCAGTGTCAAAAATGAATTCATGACTTTGATTCACCCCGCATACATTGATTAAAGGTATATATTGCGAGATTTCAGGAATTATTGCTTTTTATAATTAAGAAGTCTCAGTTTTGTTGTATGAAACTGGACGATGATCAAGGGTTCGTTTTTTCGTAGAGCATTTGAAATTGTGAGATTGTCAGAAAATTGCTGTTAAACTAATAAAATATTCTGAACTATATTGTAATACAGATTCTCACCTCCCTTAACATTACATAGCATTTAATAAAACTGGACGTCGAATACTTTGTTTATACAATTTAAGGAGCTTTGTAGCTGCTGGGCGACCAGTCCATACAATGATGTAAAAAACGTGTAGCATTTCAAAATCGGAATTAATATGAAGTCAAAATAAAAATGTATTGACAAATAAAACTGGTCAATTAGCAGCATATGTAGATGATGTATATATATAGTGTGTTCCATAAAGTTGGATCAATATGGATTTTTTTTTAAATATTATAACTGAAAAAAACCTAGACTTTTTTAAAATTTAAAATAGTCGATATTAAAGTTGGCTTGGCTATCTGTCAAATTTCGACACTTTTTTGAAAAATGATTTCTTTTTTTTTTAAATGTGAATTTGACAGAAATCTAATGTCAGTAGCCAACTTTGATATGGGCTCTATTAAGTATATAAAGAAGCAAAGGTGAAAAAAATCCCATATGGAACCAACTTTATGAAATACACTGTATCTAGTGATCCACAAAAAATATTTCGACAGTAGGCTTTGAAAACGCTCACTTATGTCGTAATGTACAATTTTCTTCTGTTTAAGTGTAAGTTTGGATTTAATTCAGAGCCGTGCATTGGTATCAGAGACATAACTGTCAAACATTTTTCGTGGATCAATTTTTTAGTATAAAATGGAAGTTGGATACATAAAACCCATTCAAAATCTTAAAAAATGTAAGGGATATTGCATTGTCACAAAAAGAACTAGCAGAACACAAAATTTTGTAATTTGACGTACAGATGAGGAAAACGCGAAAAAACTTAACCGACCATCATTGACATGATAGCCATCTGGGAGTGAAATCAAGATGTATTAATAAAAATTAAATTACTGCTAATACGCCACCCATCAAATCCTACAATGGAACATAGAAATTAAAGAAAAATTCACATGGTGTGTTGTGAGATTCGAACCACCATTACCGTTAAAAGCCAGTAAATGAACTACAGCGCCGATAACATACTGGGGGTTGTAAATTAACATGGTTGTAGAGAAAAATTAATCAAGTTTTAGAGATAAACACAATAACGATTATTGGACATTTCATGGCATCCAGTGTGGACTAGTAAGGGTGAAATCTTCGTGGATGGAACTAATTTGTTTCTGAAACAAGATATTACCGAACGACGTGTGCACTAGTACAGATGTTGAATGTCATTGTACATTTCAGTCCAGATATACTATTATTTCGCGACGATATTTAAGATAGAAAAAGATTTTAGAAATGCACAATCTTTTCATCCAATCTCAAATAGCAATTACTCTACGAAAAAACTCGTTCTGTACTATCTACAATATTTACCAATCATCAATAGAAAAACAGTCAGTACTATAAATAACAGCAAATACAATATTTCACACAATAAACAAAAACGAAAAAATCAAGAAACAATTATAAAAAACATCAATTTTACACCATTAATCAAACATATCAGATGCAGCTTGCCTTTTTTTTATATATATAATATATTTTTGATTTGTTTATCAAAAATACTCTACTCCTCAAAGTAGGAGAATTATTTTAAAAAATTAGTTTACATAATAATTGTTCTAACATTTAAAAATGGATACAAAATTCTTGGAACATTCTTTTACAAAAAGGCTTTGCCACCGTTTAATTTTAAGTTAGTTAATCTCGCATTGATATTTTTTGGTATTGTAAAAAAAGTTCATAGCAAAACTGAGTGGCATAGTTTATAATATGAAAATGACTTCGTTTTAATAAGACCAGAAAACAATGCAGATATTTTTGAAAACATTGTAACACGAAAAACAGTTATCTTCTTTATTTTGAATAGTTCTTTACATTTTCAACTAGTCATCGTGATTCTTAATAAAATGAAATCAATCGGGTATACAGGATTGGACCAAATTTACGGAAAGCCAGATTTCTGGCTTTATTGGACAAGCAACAAAGAAATGCTCAGTAAGGTCAATTTTGTTTTTTAGATGTGCATTTTTTGATAAAGGTATATTTTTCTAACGTCATTATTTTTTTCAAATGAGAAAACCACCAATTAAAAGAAAACTTTTATTTGACGTCATATCTCGAATAGCAATGTCGTCAAAAAAATATAACATTCGTATAAAAAAAAGAACTTAAAAAACAAAATCGAATGATCAGAGCAATTTTTGTTACTTGTCCATTAAAGTCGAAATCCGGTGTTGCGCCAATTTCACCCAACCCTGTTCTAGATTTATTCAGGTAAAAAAGTTGGAATATCATGTAGAAAAAGATTATAAAATCTTGGCACATGAGTAATTTCATAACATTATTTTTGTCCGTTTCTTTAATATACAGAATGTTAGGTATAACCGCCTGTATATTTCTTAACAATATGACATCCATGACATATCACTTGATAAACTTAAAAACATACAAATAATGGCAATAGAAAATACAAACTTTCAGAACATAATAAATCAATCACTACCAATGACAAAAATAGCAATGTATTTCAAATAATTTGAACGTTTACAAAGAACAAATCAGTTGAAATCGTTCAAAATATTGAAGAAAAAAAATTACAACCCTGTCCGTCTGATAATTACTGAGACAATCTATAAAATCTGTAAAAATTAATATCTTACAGATTCTGTAGCATATAGATTTCTCAGAATCGGACCCTATATTTAAATTACTTCTGCACCAGCCTTTACACATTAAATTTTAATTTATGCAGTCTCATACATATTGTGAAATTATGTTGATGTATTTATCAGATTTTAGCATTAAAATATAATGAGAATTTCAGAATAACCTCACATAATTCGGATTGGTTCTCAGAATAAATTTAATTCCAGATAAATATCCAAAATCACCGTTTCACCATCCCTCATACAGTCCAAACGATTTATTTTTGTTAATTTAAAAACGATTTGATATAGTAAAAATTTATTTGAAGATCATTGAACAAACTTGTACAACTAAAACTTTGTGAGGTCACTCTGTATGCAATTATAGAGATCGCCATACAAAAAAATTCAATATTTTTTACAATAACGTATGAGTATCATACTATTGTGTAAAACAAGAAACCATTTTTGAAATATTGGGATTTTTTTTTCAGAATCTTTTTCGTATAAAAATTAATTAATTAAAAAAAAAATAAATAAATATATCTGACTAGTAAGCAGTGATGATATAATCCAAACTTTTGGATTTCAAATAAATGATATTTATGACTATATTTTCACAAAAAATCATACTAGACTAGACTTCAAATTTAACGATTTTAATTTGTAGTGGTACAATTTGGAAAAATGAGAAAATTACACTGCATATCAAAATACGATCAAAGTTATATACGGTATTTTTGATAAATAGCGTTTAAGTTTAATTTCCTACACAAAAATCAGTAGATGTTAAATCCGGCGATCTAGCAGGTAATTGAACCCATTGTAACCTGACTTAACATCTATTTTTATAGAAATAAATTAAGTGTAAATTGACTAAAGGGAATAAACATTGAATCAAAAGTCATGCTGCTTAATTTCTCCCTTATAAACGAAATAATTTTCAAAAATTATACAGTTAAGTGTTTTATTGTAAAATTCACATACATGGAAAATATTGCAGAATTCTGACAAAAATATCGCCGAGAGCAAACCAAAAACAATCCATTCATACGCAACTATTCAAATGGCACTAAATTATTAAATAAATAATAAAGTACAAAATTAACCTTAAGAAATATTGCTATGAATATTATAAATAGAGAAAAGGGATATAAAATATAGAAAAAAAATAAAGATAATAAACTAAATAAACTCGATAAAGTACCTTAGACATCTAGATTGTGTTTTATAAGGAGGAACGCTTTTTTTGTTTTAGTTGGCAGTTATATGTTCAAGACACCACGATCAATGATATGATTCTGATCCCAGACTTTAGCCTAATTCACAAAGCTATTTAAATATTCACGAACCTCTAAATACAACATCAAATAAGAGAAAAAGTAGAGTTGGACAATATCGTGATTTTTGAATTACACTGTGAATCGTTACTGTGATTAGCAGAATTCAAATAAATGATGATATATTTCCATTATATTCGTTATTTTTCATAAAAACACTTATGAAATAGAACATATCAAGAAGGTCAGCACACTGATATCTTTAAATATCAGTAATTAAATAACAGTTGGTGAAATATCACCCAACTTTATTATACATTCATTGTTGTTTATGGTCTGTAACTTACAGGTACTTTTAGAGATCGTTTGTGAATTAGGCTCTATATTGCATATTTTAAGAAAGTCTTCGAAAACTACTCTTCCAAAATTTGAACAGTTTAATATTACATGTTATTATCATTGGAGATTATTAAAAAAAAATAGTAATTGTTTACCAAGTAGGAAAGAAAAGATTCCTGGATGACTGTGAAGATTGCTAAGTCTCGGCTTGCGCCTCGACTTAGCAACACAGAGTCCAGGAATGTGGCTTTTCCTACGAGGTAAACATACTATTTTTCCGCAAATCATTTAAAATTTGATAGATATTAATTAATTTTGAAAAAATTGCGAATAATTTTATTCACAAATAAATGGTGCTTTGAAATTCGTAATAAAATTGGTTGCGTTACTATGGAAACGTTTTAATGTTTAATTGTCAAACTAAAGAAAAAGTCAAGATTTCCTGTTAGGAAATCTTGACTTTTTCTTCAAGAAATTTTGTTTGGAAAGTCAAAATTTCCTATCGATTTGCGGAAAAATATATTAATATATCTCCTACTTTGAAAATTAAGATTTCATTCAAAAAACTTGTTCCGAGAAGACATAGTTCCTGGAACTATGCAACCTAGCATAAACATGCAGAGCTGATAGGGAGTTGCTTTGTCACTAGAGCGCGCTACTGAGACGAGAGGTACGCATGATAATTAAACTTTAAGGCCTGTCACTATAATCAAAAAATAAAATGTACACAATTTTTACCCACACGCCACATTGTCGTATCTAATAAGATTGGCCTCAATGGCATGTGATCCGGTATAGTCTTATTTTTTAACTATTGATTCAATGCTCTTTTTATAAGCTCTTTATTTTACTTGATTATTATATAAAATAACGTCCAAATATTTGATTATAACCACAAAGGTATTGGATGAATACATACACTTTGTTTACATTAAGTTTGTTCGCAACATAATCGTGATGAGAGCAACCTTACATGTTGTCAAATCTCTTTTTTCGAAAATATTGTATTATATTTTGTTTATATTCCCTATTAAAAAAAAAAAAAAAAAAAAACTATAAGTAATTAGTTGCATAAAAAGGGTACATTATACAATTTATTCTTGTTTTATGTAAAATATATTGTTACGCAGCACCCTGCAGCTGTTATAGGAAACGTACGAATACCATAAAAGAAGTGCAATGTTACTCATCGCCCTACAGTGTGCTGCGGTCGTCATAAGTACTAGTAAAAGAAGATAGAATAGTCCAGAAATGTCATTCCACGTCAAGGAAAAGTCTAGACAGTTCCAGAATGTTCGAGAAGATTAAATCAAGCTATATAAGCAGGGATCCTGATGTCAGTTCAGTTTTATGACAGACGTTAAATGTTAATGTTATCAGTTGGAGTTATTGTATCAGTTGAATTGAGTTATTGTAAAAGTTGAGTTAAAATAAATTGTGATACCAAAAACTAGCGTAACAATATTAATCCTTTTTAATATTTTCATAATTATTTTAACATTTTTAATGAAAATTATAAAATATATTAATATGTATATGTCGTTTTTATAAGGATATAATTTGATTTAATCTTCATGTATTTTTTATTATTGAGACTAGAATAACAAAATCGTAATTTAGCCCTTAAAAATACTATCAAACTTGTTTCTCCAATTTAAAATATTTTATTCTATAAAAAAATATACAGAAGGCATTTCAAACAGCCTTTGCATATTGGTTATCAAGATTTTAACGTTATATTGTATAATTTTTTATAAAATATAAATGAACCCTCCTGAAACAGTACGTCATTGTGTATTGTACCCTTTCTCTGTCTGGTTTATGATGCGGACAAAACAATGCATTTTTTATGCTGTGAAGACAGGGCTCTCTTAGATATTGTTATGTCTATGATTATAATGCTTTTTGATAGCTGGTCAGATGGACCTCATGTCTCAGTCGACGTTTTCTAATATTCAACAAAATAATGTACTGATGATAGATCTGGACAGGGATTTTTATGTGCTTACTCAACACGTAACGAATTGAATAGAAAGACATTACATACGAATCGCATTCTGTGGAACGAAGATAGTCGTCTCAACACGTACCGAATTGAGAAATGAGAATCCCAATGCAGGTGACCAATAAATTAACGGCTGCAATCCTGATTTTTATCTGATGAAAATTACTTAAGAACGATTGACATTTGAGAATTTTTAAATATTAACAATTATCAAATTGTCTTTATTTATGACCTGTAGAGTATTGTATTATAAATAAATAAATAAATAAAAACTAAAGACAAGTAGGTATGGATGATAATAATATAATTGCTGTTGTGGTGAGCCTAATGAATCTAATGAAAAGAATTAACAGGGATTTATCTAGAGAACATTATAATTTCCAGTAACATAAAAAAATTAATAAACGTATAGCTTTTTTCTATTTCATTAACTGTCTAATAATTAATCTAATTTAAGGTTATGTCACGTGACCATCTGAGAATTAAGTTGAATTTAAGAATATGATGTTATGTTATGTTGAGAATATGATGTATAACTCGTCTAAAAATTGTTGATGGATAAAAGAACAGTTTTGATGAATGTTGGATGGCATTGATGAATATTAGAAAACGCCTAGTATCACCATCTGGTAAGTGTTGAAATTTTACCCCTCATTGACTAAATTGAAATATTTTTGACAGAAAAAGTAAATAAATTAGTAGTTTTACTTTTTGGTGCAAAAGAAAATAAAGATGTTTAAAAGTTAAGATTAGAAAATCACAAATGTCAGTAGTTCTTAAATAATTTTCATCAGATAAAAATCAGGATTGTAGCAGTCGGCCATTTGTTGGTCAGGTCATCAGTACACCATTTTGTTTAATATTAGAAAAAGCCCTATCTAAATAAGATACAAAATAGTCAATAAATTGTACTTCAATATTTTGGAGAGGTAGTTTTGCGGAGATATTTTTTTTTAGGGAACTTTAATGCCTTAGTTTTAAAAAAATAAATTATAAATGTGAATACTTATTATTTCATTATTCTATTAAAAATCTGTCTAATTCTTGCTAACTAAAAAAAGAATAATAAAAAATTGTATTAGTAAAATCTAAATACGTATAATGTGCGGTGTTGATCCCTATTTTTTTTTAGGGAATGTTCACTTAAAATGGAAAAAAAGAAACAAATTTAATTGTTAATATATAAACTGGCCTATATCCAATACCCGTAAACATGTTGGTGTCTGATTTTGAAAACAAAAAAGTCAATAAATATTGTCATATTTGCCAAACTGGTAACATTGCTTTGACATCAGTCAACAATAAACAGAACCTCCAAGTAATGACTATTATTATAATAATAAAGGAGTTAAAGTCCCTTAAACCAAATTTTAAAATTTAACTAAGTCGGAATATATAAAAAAAAACATTCAATATGAACGCTTTTAAATTTTACATTTGTAACAACAAATGTTATAAATGATTATTGGAAGATTGTGGCTATGAATTGCATGTTAGTTACAACCATCAAAATGTTCGCTAAAAAATTTCCTGTATTGGTAAACTTGCTATATGTGAGAGTGTTGGAATCACAATAAATATATTACTTGGATAATAATGATTTTGAGAGCCAGGGATTTTCTGAAGTAAATGCAAATTATAATACTTTTAGAAGAAACAATATCTCTTTGACAATGATCATTTTATTGTACCGTTCAGGAAAATATACACGGTGGGGCAAATTTAATTAAATTCTATTACGATTTCCCATTACACAGTTACAATCTTATGAACTAATGAAATCAGAAAATGCTTAAAAACCGTTTCTAGGGTACGAAGGGGTAACTTAAATGACAAAATGTAGAATTCACTCCCATTAACTCCTTATGCACCATTTACCTCAACAAAAAAAAAAAATAGCAATCGCCTATACAGGGTGGTTCAATAGTTCATAGTAAAAGAACCTATTTAAAAAGAAGATGGAATGTAGTATCTGAATTAAATATTCCTATACCAGAAATACAAAATAATTTGTAATAACTAATAAATACAATTTTTCTCTACTCAATCTTGTATCACACTATATTGTTTTTATGATTTGACAACTCTAGGAATTTTCGTAAGCACGGTCCTACTCATTTGCCTCAAGAATTCGTGAATTTTTAAATTTTCAAGACGAATAGGGACAAATGGACGCAGAAAATGGCCTTGACGAGTTCCAGATTTGGGGGGTTTTCAAAGAGAATGTCTATGGCTAAAATGACGAAAAAATTCATGTCTAAAAATGTAATTTTGGAACTCGATTTGAAAGTTAGAGGTGAGATTGACAGCTGTACAGTTTGCATTAGTAAACTGTTTAAAGTAGACGGGCCATATTTAGGTAACAAATATTTCACCTCGAAGGACATAGAATTGTATATAAAGGGTTTTCCAATAAGAGTTTCCGGATATTTTTGTTTGCTACTTTTTTTGTCACCAACCTTTTATGTGGTATTCTTTTTTTGTTGCATTCTGCAAACCAGTACAAGTTTAGCAATGGAGCGGTACACAGTAGAACAAAGAGTTTACGTTATTAAGACGTACTTTGAAAATCGGTCTTCTGTGATAGCTACATATCGCCGAATTCGTGATTATTTTGGCATACAAAATCGACCCTCAGAAAGAACCATGCGTAAATTCGAAACTACAGGTTCTGTGCAAGATATTAGCTCACTCGGTTGATAATATTGGAAGCTGTTCGTCAAAGTGTGGCTGACAATCCCCAAATGTCTACTGCAAGGCGTTCGCAGCAGGCATCAGCAAAACCTCAACATGGCGAATTTTGAAAAAGGATTTGTCTCTCCACCCTTACAAGATTCAGCTAACACAGGAGTTAAAAGCCAGCAGACCATGGCCAACGCCGTGATTTTGCTAACTGGATCCTACAGAAGAAGCAGATGATTATTTTTACAACAAAATCATCTTAAGCGACGAGACCCATTTTCATTTCAGCGGTTACGTAAAGAAGCAAAACTGTCGCATCTGGGACAATGAAATCCTAGAAAAATCCATGTCACGGTTTGGTGTGGTTTTTGGGCTGGATATATCATTGGACCTTTCTTTTTTGAAAATGAAAACGAACAAGCTGTTACGGTAAATAGGGAGCGATATCGAGCGATGATTAACGACTTTTTATGGCATGAGATAAGGGACATGGACTTTAACAATATGTGGTTTCAACAGGATGGTGTGACATGTCATACAGCAAGAGAAACGATGGATTTATTGCGTACAAGATTCGATGGGAGGATTCTCTCAAGAAATGGGGACGTAAATTTGCTACCTAGATCATGCGACTTGACGCCGCTGGATTATTTTTTGTGGGGTTATGTAAAAAGTAAAGCTTACGAAAACAATCCCCAAACAGTTTAACAGTTGAAAGAGGAAATTCGACGCATAATTCGTGACATAACACCACAAATGTGCTCAGATGTTATGAAAAATTTAAACAAAAGAATTGTTTCCTGCCAGAGAAGTCATGGTGGCCATTTGCCAGATATTTTATTCCACGTATAATTGTAAAGATTTATACTTCATATTGCAGTAAAAAATTGTCATTTATGTTGTAAACTTTTGTTTTATTTATTATCAACATCCGGAAACTCTTGTTGGAACACCCTTTTTATCCAATTTTTGTTAAAAATGGACAAGCAATATTTGTCGTTTTAGCCATCGATGTATACTATGATTAAACTCCCGAAATTGCAGAATTGAGGTAGATAATTCTTAAACGTATATAATATTAGACCTGAATGATTGGAAACGCAATTGAATCTTAATCTCCTCGCAACAGTTATGAACGACTCTATACAAAAACAGGAAACAGGCTAGTCACTCCTATATATAAAAAAGGCAAAAAAATTAATCCCATCAACTACCGTGCAGTCAGTCTTACAAGCTGTATCGGTAAAGCAATGGAAAAGAAAATTACAAAAGAAGTAACAGAGTTTATGACGGAACACAGAATTTTACCAAGCAACCAACACGGATTTACACCTAAAAGATCCGTTATTACAAATTTCCTAAGTAAAGTAAACCACTGGGCAGCTTGGCATGACAACAACCGCCAATTGATGTGATATATCTTGATTATGAGAATTTCTTATTCAATCGGCAGTTCTGCGTAAAAATAAACTGGCAGCTATCAAACAACCATCCAGTAGAAAGTTGAGTGCTACAAGGTTTGGTCTTGGGTCCCCTATTACTTATTTTAAGTAACAAAGACTTGTAGAGAATTGCTAACGATAAGTAGGATAAACGGCAATTAAAGTTATACTTTAAAGTGGCTGTAAAGTGAATATGGCCAAAAAGTTGTCTAAAAACCATATGTAAAGCGTTTCCAGGGCGAAAAAATGTATTTTGGAGGGTCTAAAAAACCGGGAAAATGTATCCTGTTCAGGTGATGGTGACATTATTCTACAAAATGTGGCTAAACTATGTTAAGTGGTATTCATTTATCAAAACGGCGTTAATTAAATAAAACGAAAATTGACAATTTCGGTTTTGCCCAGATATCTCGGAAACCGGACCTGATACTTTTATTTTGAAAAACCAATAAATTCGTCTGGAAAATACGAATCTTTTTTCATTTAATGCCCAAAGCATTTAATTAAATTTTGTATATCAATTTTAAGAGAAAGCCAATTGTTTTTGAATGTACATAACTTTACTAGCTTAAAATGTAAAAATTTCCAAAAATAGTAGCTTCTAGAAGTATAAACATTCGATGGTTGTAACTATACATTACGTATGGCGATCAATTACATAAACAAATGATTTGAGTCAGAAATGTCGTGAAAATCAGTGCAAATTCTCTATTGAGATCAGACGTATTTGTAATTATTGCACTTAAAAAAATCATTCAAGCTATGTCATTAATCATCTTATTTGTGTTTATCTTTGTACTGTCGATAATATGTGTTGTGGATACTTAATAATATATAAAATTGAAAGAGTCTTATTAATAGCCATTTTTCGATAAAAAAAGTATTAAAAAAATGACTCGAAAACTTAAACCTAATTAGGGAAAGACGGAGAATAATTTTTAAATCCTAATCGATTTTCAGCTCAATTAAATAAAAGCGATATTTTTGAGATCGGTATATTCGTTTAGTCATTCTAAATTATATAAACAAATTAATAATAGCCAATTCAATAAAAATTCTTTGGTTTATCACTAAAATAAAGCCGAATAAAAACGCCTTTGACAGCCGACATTAATGACAACTGACGAATGACAGGGGTAACTTTCTAACCTCAAAATCATCAAATCGAGGATTGTTATTGTTAATGACGAAAAAATATACTTCTCCCGACAAATATCATCTTTTATCTAAAAACAACTTATAAAATAAAACGATTCAAAAACTAACCTAACCCACTTAATTACAATCTAATAAAAAATATCTTTCTCTGGACAAAAAATCTGTGTACATTTTGTTACAAATATAACAACGAAAAATCTACATACCAATAAATTACAAATTATAAAAACAACCTAAAAAGCGACATGACACGGGCGAGGTTACATTAGTTGACCATAGTTTCTGGAATTCGACTGTTTATCTCCTCCAAGCCTACTTGATCCTGGTTAAGGGGCAATGGAAGGCTGAAAGAAAAATAGTATGATTGTAACTGAAGAATGTATCAAATGAATATTGTTCTAATATCTAATATTGTAAAACACCTGGTGTTGTCGATTCATTTTTTTTTTATCAAATATACTAAAATTAGTTCAAAAATAAATTCTAAAAATCAGTACCACATGAAAAGTTTTTTATTACCAATTATAGGTTAACACAGGCAATCCTAAAAGGAAGATACATATCATTAAACAAAACAGTAAAAAATTAAGCCCATAACACTTTAAAATGAAGTATCTTAAATCTTATTAGGCATTCCAAACAAATTAACTATCTACGGGAAAGGTTTGTATATCTAAGGGGTTGCGAAATATGATGTATTCTATCCACAATGCATGAAATCATGAATCATGGATTACATTTAAATATTTTATGTCGAACACAATGAAAATATTATTTTTAAAAAACAGCTTATATATTTTTCATAAATTGGCAGGTTTGGCAACTAGTATTTCCAATAAAAATAGCATCCAAGATGGAAAGCTATGTCGCAGCCCCCTTAGATATAAGAGCCCTTCCCACTGGCAGCTATTATTTGACAGGATCAGGTCGATGATCATCATATGTAATTTAAAACTTTTAAAAACATAATAAAAAATTTAAAAAATCCTTCATAACGGGCTACTAATACTAAAAACCTTCTTTCGGTGGTCCAAATAGGAGGAGGCGAGGTTACTAATAGACAAGAAATCCTAGTCTTGTAACCAGTCCAGAAACCCGAATACTGTACCTAATTATAGATTCATCTAATGATTAGTAGCAACCCACAGTTTATGTAAATATTCGTAATATATTTTTCAGACTTGTAACATAATCATTCTATTTAAGATTTTTATCAATAATGATACCAAAGTATTTAGATTTTTTAACTTCCATGAAATCCAGATTTGTGTTAACCATTTTAAGTTTTGTATAATCAGGTCTATTGGCATCAGTTAATGAAAAGGCAACATAGGAAGTGTTTCAAACATTCAAAGATAATTTATTATAGTGACTAACCAGGATTTGACTTTACATAGTGTGTCCCATACAAGGAGGATCTATGGGAAATTTTGTTATTATTTATTACAATTGGAAAAAACATCGTAGGGCATTCACCTCTGCTTTTTTTAAAACTTAAAATGGTCCATACTAAAGTTGCTAAGCACAGCATTAATTATGTCAAATTCGGTATTTTCTTGAAAAATCATTTTTTTTTAATGCAAATTTGACAGAAAACTAAGGTCAGTAGCCAACTTTGATATGGACTATTTTAAGTTTTTAAATAAGCAGATGCGATTGGCCAACGACGTTTATTTCAAATCGTAATAATAAAAAAAAATCCCATATGGATTCAACTTTATGGCACACAATTGTATATTAAGTTCAGCCTTTTCCTTAACTAAATTCCATAAGTTATCATTAAATATTAATACTGTGTCATCATCATCAATACAATTTAGACATCACTGGGTGTTCTATTAGTCAATTTGTGAATGATGTAAAGAGAATTTGTTTTTAATATCTTTAGTTTAGTTTATTACATTTCATATATGAAATTTTAGATTTATTGTGCCTACCTTTTTTTTTTTTTTATGTACTTAAGCTATTTTATTTTATGTAATTTATTGATACTAATGGATTATTCCGTAATATATATATTTATTTATTTATTTATATAAGAGGCAACAGAACCTTGTATTTTGGTTTTCAAGAGAGTTAATATAAGTGATTAATAATAATGGTCCTAAAACTGTTCCTTGTGGTATCATCATTTGAATAGTTTGAATATTACCTCATGTCTCTAATTTTGAAGATTTGGTTTATGTTAGAAAGATAACTTAAAAACAGATAAAACTATTTAGGTATTTTAAATAAATTTAATATTTTACTTACCACTGCACCTTGTAAGTGGCGTTATCAGCGATCGCGATCGGCGTCGCGCCCGGATTGGATGACTCATCGTAACCAGAATCCGAGCTGCTGTCGCTGTAAAGCTTCGACGAGGTGGTGTCGCATGGCTCAGCTTCCGATTTGCCGATGACGGTAGGGCGGATTTTGCAACCGGCTAAACGATTACGGCAAGGCCTCATGAAACGAGGATCGATCATGATTTCGTTGTAGAGGCCTCTAAAGACCGTTCCGCAACACACCGTTTCCCTAAAACGAAAAAGAAAGACCATCACATAAAGACGGAAAAGTAATCCCAAAATAATATTTGTTAAAATACTCCAATAATAATTTTGAGTATTGTAATTACTCTAAAAACGTTTACACAGCAAATATAGAATGGATAAATGAAGATTTACTTAAAAAACTAAAGACCTTTATTGACTGTATTCATGTAAATAGATTTAAAAATTCTGATATGTTGTTATAGGTATTAAAATGATAAAATTTACCTTTTCCAATAGTCCATGTCGACGAAATCGCTAACCCTCAACACATGGTTTCTGCGCTTAGCTAATCCCTTATACCTCCTGCTCTTCTCAACCACTTCTTCTGTATCACTGATTCCTGGACTACCAATTCTGCTAGACTCAGTGCTGGGGTGGTCTTCACACATAAAATCGACTTCCTGAAGGTCTTGCTCTTCAATACCTTTATTGTAATAATAATAATAATTGTACAGAAAACTGAAAATATATAATTAACTAGCTGTACTTACTTTCACTCTTATCAGACAGGACCGGACTATGTTCACGTTCATACTGCATTTTCAATTTGAGCTTTTCGGACTTCTCCTCCAACAATTTGCGATTTTTGACTTTGAATTTGGTCATAGATTTGATGCCTGGACCTGCTCTAGCATCCACTACGTGTTGCCAGTTTCTATCTGAACCAGCAGGCAGTTTCTTCCATCTTTTGACAAGCAATACGCAAGCGTTGCATATTTCCCCTTGTCTGGGTGTCGATAACTTGAAACATTCTAGAAAGTCTTCTTCGTACTTTTTGCTATCAGTGAAACGAGAGCTGAAGAAGATATAATAATTTGTTTAATTTTAGATACTAATCCTAACAAATAAAATCCGGAAATGGTAAGAGATAATTAAGGAAATGAAGTAGAAATGTCACAGAAAGACAGATAAGAAAAAATTAATGAAAAATATTTAGAGATTGTGTAAAATGACCTGCGAATTTGTTATTCAAAGTATTTTCCCTAAGACCCATTACACCTGATGAAGTATAAAGAAAGTTATTTGTTCATTGAATAACTCCAGATTTTCACAAAATTAATAGTAAAATAATAAAAGAATTTTAAGACCCTTAACTGATTTAATAAACATGAATTTTTAATCCCAGATACCTATTTTCAAACTTGTGAAAACTCATTTCTTTCAAGATTTTCACAAGAAATGTCATAAGTCAACGTGAAAACAGTATTTTAAAAACCAATGAGAATTATACTTAGGAAAATTTTAATTCTCTCAAAATAAACAGAGAGAAACAGTCAATGAGTTCTCACTGGCTTTAAAAATACTGTTTTTACATTGACATATAAGATTTCTCATCAAAATCTTGAGAGAATTCACTTTCTCTTCAGTTTGAAAATAGCTGTCTTTCCTGATAAATTGAAGATTTCTAAAGTCATACCATTATATAAAAAAAGGTGATCAAAATTTAGTTCAAAACTATAGACCAATTTTTATACCGTCGGTTTTTTTTTTTCTTCTAAAATAATTGAAAAATTACTAAAAAACAATGAAATAATTCAAAGAAAATAATTTTTTCAGTACTAGCCAATACGGTTTTAGGCAAAATAAATCAACAACTGGGACAATTTTGCATGTGGTGGCATGAAAAAGGTAAATATGTAAATATTACTCTATGTGACCTAACCAAGGATTTCAATGGTGTCTTCCAAAGCATCTTATTTAAAAAACATAATTATGTGAGTTAGAGGTAATGTAATGTATTTATTAGCCTTTTATAAAAAATCGTAGTCGTTTTTTTATAAAGGCAACCTCTCAAATCCAGAGTCAATTAATGTAGGGGTCCCACAGGGATCAGTTTTGCGACCGCTTGTATTTGTAATATATTTTATTGTAGAAAAGCGTGGCGTGCTCGATGTCAATTATTATTTACTTTTTAATTTGCTTTTCTATTAAAGAGCGTTTTTAGTTTTTTTTAAACTATTACTTATTTCTCTTAAAGCTTATTACCAGTTATAATGTTCTAAGAACTGGATATTTTTCATTATTTCACTCACATATTAGTTATGGTATATTAATGTAGGGTAATGATAAGATTTTTATCAGATGCTCAGTTTAGAAATCTCTGTAGACCATCATAAGATCATGACTTTACCTTCAGTATTTATCTATGCAAATTTAATTGAAATACATAAACACTTATGTCTACTACCAATGCAAGGTGGTGGGTCATTCTTATAATACATGAATTGGTACTTATGTTAAAGGTCCAAATTACAGATTATCAAAAGCAGAACATAATTCACTTAATTTTAATTTGATATTACATGAATATGTAAAAACCTTAAGTCACCCCAAACACAAAAATGCTCTGAAAAACATTTCAAAGAAAAGTATTTTATTCAGTTTTAGAATTCCAGAATTATATTAAAAATGGATTGCCCATTGAGCTGGATAAACAAACAATTGTAGTAAGTAGTGGCCCAAAGTACAGGCGGTAATTAAAAAAGTAGAATTTTATCTTGGTGATTAGATTTGGAGGAGTTTAATTGAAAGTTGGAAAACAAATTTCTGATGCCATCATGTGTGGTATCAATTGAAAACTTTTTGCAGCATGATCTCAAAATTCTATAAATACGTTCGTTTGTTACTTTTTCTTCAACATTTTTTCTAAAAAAACGCCAACTTGGGAATTGGACTTTGGGTATTTCCGAAACTTTACTACCAGTTTTAATATGCACGTATATTTTAAAAACACCCTGTATAATGCAAAACTAATCTGCTAGTGCAGTTAAAGTTTAATAGCCGGTTACAAGGACGTTTATTAAAATCAATGTGTCTGCTAAACTTTGACAGAACTTGTGAATGTGATCTGTCTAAGTGACATGAACTTTAAATTACTTTCAGTCTAAACATCTATCAAAGTTTGTCACACTCATAAATTTTCGTGATTGTTATTACTACTTGCTGAAAGTGTTAAAATTACATACCTGCTTGATTTGGCTTTGCAAATGCAACACCCTGTAGAAGATCTATATACTTTTGGTCGATGAAATGAAAACATGTTGAATGACACTTCAGTTCTGTAAAAATAAAAAAATGAATGGATACAAATTGCAGAAAGTAACTGTCAAAAATTTTGTAGTACAGAGCTATTCAAATATTTTTCTTTTAGAAATACTGAACAAATAATTAAAATATGCTTTTTTTGTCAATAAGTTCAAATGTATGCCAATAAAAATATTTACTTAAGATGCAGCATATTTAGCTAATACTTAAATTTGTTATTTAAAGTACATGGTGTTTAAATAAAAGATTAAGAATTAGACCAAAATGCACATGATTTAGGCATTCTACAATTCTAGGTACATACCACATAATTCAAATATTTTTTTAATATAACTTAATTTAAATGCAAATGGACAACTATTTTTCTTCTCTGAGACATTAAACAATTTTTATCAATTTGTAAGCATTAAATAATAATAGGTAAGTATTTATAAATATAAATTGCTTTAGGTAGTTACCCTCCAGTGTTTATCATAGATAAGAAACAAAATATTTACAGGCTGTATTGATTAAAATTCTATTTTATTCTTTGCCTGTTGTATTTGTGTACAAAATAGTTTGATGTTTGTTATGGTTTATTAAAAGCCCTTCACATATACAGTTTGTCCCAAAAAAATATTTTTTTATCTAAAAGTTTTCCTTGGTACATTTTTTAGGACACTAAATATTATCCATTATAAAGAGCCAGTTTGGTATAAATGTTTTCATAAAGTATACAAACAAATTAAATGTTTAAAAACAAGTGTATTAATTTTTAATTCTAGGATAAAAGTCAAGAACCAATAAGTTAATAAAATATAGTTATTTAATAGATGTAATTATTTTCATTAATTTTCAATGAGTAGTTTAATTGGGACAACAAAAAACATTCCATTTCCATTTTGCCTATCATAAAACACTGAAACTGTTTAGGGTCCATTAAGTGAGTTGTTGGACAGTCAAAAACTGACAAACATGACCAGTCCAGACTAATCAATCTGTCAGGGTCACTCAGAACTGCCGATAAATTTTGTCTGACTCTGGTAGTTAAAATGGTCTAGACTAGTCTAGAGAATGGTCAATGGTCAGTCGTTATTACACTTGCACATACAAAAATAATCTACTATTTAATATCAGTGAAATTAGTGTTTTAAGCTTAACATAACCTCAAACCTCAACGACAGCCCATGTTTATATTATTTTTTTTAGAAAATATGGATTAACAACTATATCATTAAAAACAAATTTAATATACCAATATAGGAATAACTTCAGTTTTTTAAATAAATCATAAAGTCCGTATGACAAAAACAGGTGCCTGGCTGGCCTTGTACTTCTTTAGTGTGCTGATCAAGAATTTAAAACATTAGAAGGCAGTTTTGACTAAATTGTTCAGTGAGCAGTCTGACCATACCAGTCAACGTTTACTTAATGCAGACTTAAACACCTCTTGGTGACACTATCTACTACTTTAAAACAGGTAATGCTTAATATTGGAATTTAAGTATTATTTATTTTATTTCAAATCAGTGATCTACATGCACTCATGAGGATTAGGGATGGGCAAAATAATCGATTAATAATCCCTTAGTTGATTATTATATTTTTTTAATCGATAAATGATCAATTTCAATTAATCAAGAATTTTCAATTAATCAATTATTTTCGATTGGATATTTTAAATAATCGATTATTTATTTTGATAATCGCCCAGTCCTAATGAAGATATTATGCTGATTGTAGAACTGGACAGTACCCAAGTAAATTGTACTTGAGTACTCAAAGTACTCATTAATTGGTACTTGGAGTACTTTCATCCTGTTGGGTTTCAGTACTCTCAAAATTTCGCAGCTTGTCTTGTTTGTGGGTCTACTCACAGTACTACACTGCTTATGATTATTATTTTACATCTTATGTTTGCTAGACAGTTTGTACAGAAGGTGCAGTTTGAGTTGTTACGATTATGAAGTGTTTTTGTGTTTTTTATTTATGATTTACATAATACATTTTATATTTGACAGTTAAGTCACTTAATAATAACTTTAAAAAAGGAATGAATAATAAATAAGCACCTAGGTGTATCCACTTGTGGGTGCTATATTATAAAAATAACAAACTAAAGAATGAATTTACAGAACATTATATAATATAGTGACAATAACAAAGAAAAAAAATATTTTTTCTTCATCCACATGGATATCGACTTATCTATGCACAGATTACAAAACGAAAAAGTATTATATTGCGTTTAAAAAATTAAATTCACCAATCACAGTTCATATTTTGGTCACCTGAAAACTATTTCTTTTAAAATTTAAGTGACAATTATTTTTGGTTATTGAGCTTAAATATACATTAAAATGACTTATTTTTGTGTGGGATCGATAAATAATAGCATTTCTATTTTTATTTATACTATAATTATAATTCATTTGTTAATTTTAATAAAACTATATGAAGTCAATTGAATTATGAGTATTAAAAATATTTCCCAAATCTGGCCATGGATGGGTGGCGAGAGTTTCTGCCTTCCATGCAAGAAACAGAAAATGTCATAAAAACCAACAATTTATGTAAAAATAGGAAGTTTTTTAGTTAGATTAGTAAACAATACATAAATATTGTGAAAATAATTGGATGTCTAACTGCACTTCTTGTCAAAATATGATATGTAATTATGGAACCCAAAAAGTGTCAAAACCGAGGTCAAAACATTTAATCTGCTCTAATGAAAAGTTAAATAGAATGACATAGTGCAGTTAACTTCAAGGTTTATATGTATACATTACATAATCTAAACAAGCAAAGAAACCTAATTGCAGTCTACATCAGCATTGTGATGGTTGGTAGGGTTACAGGTTACTTTCTGAAATTACTAAAATGGTATAAAACTATGAGAAACGTTTTTTGAAAACTTTGCAAAAATCTGTGAGATTTAATGAGTCATAGTACCACTATTCTGAACCACAAATCTAATTGCCTATTTTGCATGTTTATAAGCAGAGAATACGCATTATACAGCATCAAACATTCATTTTCTGCTTAAATATTAAAAAAATGGCATGTTGACAACCTATCAGATCATTTGCACCCAACTGAGGATTAATAATTATTAGTCGCAGTATCGTAAGTGCAAATATGAAGATGTACTTAGAAAAAACACTCTACATGGAAGAGTACACTTTAATGTGCTAATAGATAGAATATAAGTGATACTCCCATTTTTGTTTGTTACTTACCGACTTACTATTACCAATTACTGTAATTCCTCTCTCTAACCTTAAGTCACTAACTAAAATTATTAAAAATACTCAGAATTGTTATTTGCTTTGAGTTTTAGATATAAGAGTGGCCATAATCAAAATCTTGCCCTATTGTGCACTTTGTTTCTGTAATCTATATTAAGTGCAAATAAAGACATTTATTATTATTATTATTCATAAGTACTCATACTCGGATACTTATGAGTACTTTGTGAAGCTACCCATTATGAGTACTTTAATGCAGTACTCTTCCCAGCTCTAACTACATATCTTTTTAGGTAAACCATTATTTATTAATACATCATAAAAATTGTACCTGTAAATAAGTAATTGGAATTAGTATTTTTCAAAATAATTGTATTTTAAACCATGCTGTATTCTTTGAGATAATTAATAATTAAAAAATGGCATTTGAATATAATTTAAGGTAGAAGATAAGTGCATCTTGGAAAAAAAAATATTAAGTACCTAGTAGGAATTTAGAACCTCCTCCATTTTTGAAGTCTGTTAAAAATGAAATCATTTAGCATGTACCTGCTACAGGTATTATAGCGGGAAAAAATGACATATATAAAGATATTTCGAAATCCGAAGTGGTAAACAATACGTCAGAATTGCCTTGTCCTACTTAAAAATTTAAAGCCAGCCAGTCTTAAGTGCATACAAAATACCAATCATATTCCTCTGTGAACAAACTTGCATAAAAAAAAAACACGAAAAGGCGCGAAAAAACCTTAAAAGGACAATAACCCGTCGTAGATCGATGACACAGGGCAACCCCTTTTTTTTTTTCAAGGCTCAATATCCCGCCACAGATTTCAAAATAACAAACGCCATATTGAAGTACAAATGACGCGAAAATTGACAATACCAAATACCAAACATTTATTTCTAAACACCTTAATTTATTTGTAGATAAACCTAACATAATGATAAGCAAGCAACTATTGAAAATTCATTCGAATTATTTTTCGTAAACAAATCTTGCAACTAGAAGACAAGTTCTGTTTTTCGTCAACAGGTTGGGTAATGGTAGTACTTTTTTTGAATTAATTAAGAAAGAATACAATATACTACTCAATACGTACCCAAAGTATTGTTAAATGTTATCAAAAATAACCCTGACAGTAATTTAAGCCCAATATTCAAAACGCTGACTTTTAAAGAAATCTTTATCAATCCACGCCGTCCTTGTAAAAGTTTTGCTTGAAATACTGAATAAAGACGATTTTATTGAAAATTAACAATGTATAGCCATGTAAAAACAATTTAAAGAAAAATCACTTGCAGTATTAATAAATAACCAATTCAAAAACAACAACTTTCTATTGAGCAACAAAAATGTGTATGTGTAACGTATAACCAGCCATTATTGTTGTTTTAATTATGAAACGACTAAAATTGTAACAATAAATTTTGAAAATCCCATTCTAAATAACCGAAAATTTGTTTTTTCAAGATGAATTATTGGCCAAGAAAATCGCAATCGAAAATATTAGAAAGCGTTTTACCGGTCATGGTACTCGAATAAAAATGGAGTTGCATGACGCCGATGAAATCAAACTTGTTATAAATTAAATACGGCCAAACTGTAGATGACAACCTTACCTTATGAATTCAATAAGAAAGTAGCACTATGATTCACTGAATTTAGCAAAACGTTTTGTTATTTGAATCAAAAATATTTGCAAAATTCACAAAAATATAGACACACCAACACAACAGATGACGGCTAAAACTTTTGATATCGATTGCGCACGTTTCCGCGCATGTACTTGCGCATGCTGGACGCCAAATGGCAGGTTTTGGTAAGTTGGCAAAAGTGGCAAATGATGTGCGTTTTGTTGGTTAGATATGGGATAGATCCGTTAAAACTTGGAACAAAGATATTTCCAGAGGCAACCCAGCCTGATATTTCTCACTGACTCACTGATCTGTATCATATCTGTATTCTGTAATATTACAGCATAAAAAAATAAACAGATAAGGTTTAAATAAATGGCGGGACTTGTTTCCTTGTTTGAAGTTCAACCCACAGAACACACTTAATCTGTTCAACCGTAAGCGCCTCAATGAACTGGAGTGGGGTAGAATGCGTGTCAACAGGTTTGAGATGCGACTCTATAGGCGAAGACAGGTTATTTTTCATCTCACTCGGGAGTATTTATAACAACCATTTTCTATTTCACTCTGTTATTGTCTGATCCACCAGCTTGTGGATCGAATAATAACAATGTGAAACAGAAAATGGTTATTATAAATACTCCCGAGTGAGATGAGAAATAAAAATGGCTGCGCACATAGAGTCGCATCTTGTTCTATTCATACAATATGCACATTAACTTTCTACCCCACTCTAATTCATTGAAGCGCCTAGCCCTAGCTAGTGTTGTGAATATCCGTATCTTTTTAGTATTCGGATAATACGTATTCGGAACCAAGAGATATTCGGATTCATCATCCGGATACGTATCCATATTCCGTGTGTGAAATCATAATAATACGCAACAGTAAATACACCGCGACCTTGGGAATCGGAACCGGGCAGTGTTGTCAACCCTAGCAGAATTTATGTTTGAGAGTGAAGTAACAGGAGCTTTTAATGTTTTAGAATAATAAACACAAGACAAATCTTAAATATTTTGTTTTTTATCATAATATCAGAAACAAAATTTCTCATTAACTGAATATTATTTATATAACTTCATGTTACCCAGGGGCTGGTAACTCAAATGGAAAAACATGAGAACGGTAATTTAGTACCACTTCAATTAACGGGATGGCGCTCGTATCGAAATGTCATGTCAGTTGTCAGCTTGTCAACAAAACTCAATGACATGAAAAGTCGATATACATTGCGTTCGGTTTGCCACGTTCCTTAACTCCTTTTAACACTTTTAACTCCAAACGACTCTTTTAGCGTTCGGTTTAGTCCGATTAGTGACAGTTTAACACGCTTGTCATTTAAAAGCACCCTAAAATTTGTCCCGCTCCAGCCCCTGACTGACCGAACTCGCCTAATGCAAGTTTTCTAACCTAAAAAAAATTTATATCGTAAATAAAAATAATAAAATTGAGTTGGGAGTTGGGTCTAAAACGATAATTTTTATGAGGCTAACGCAGAAAAATTGTTAGTTGAGAATGTTGAGATTGAAAATACTATGGTTGAATTAAAAGTTAAATCATATCATTTATTTTGTTTTTAATAACAATGGAAGTGAAGCAAGATTCTTTCGACCCTCACAAGCTCTTATTTAAAATCGAAGCAGATCATGTTTCCGTTCGACCGGAGGAAACTGATTCGAATTTTGAAAAAATACGAAAGTTCAATTTTGAACCACAATCAACGGAAAAGTTTGCAAATGCTTGCAAAATTAAACAGGAAGTTATCGAATGTGAAGAACATAAAATTGAACAACTGTTAGATTTTCCGGTAAAAATTGAGGACATCAGCGATGTTCGCGACGTTTTAGGTACAGATTTGTTGCTAGATAAAAATTCTATAAAACAAGAAGATAGTGAACACCTACAGCTTAAAATTAAAAGTGAACTTTTGACGTCTTATTGTGATTTACCGACTTTAAAAGACGAAAGTACTGTTTATCCGGATGATTTCGAACAGCCCTGTAGTAGTAAACAATTCGAAAGGATATCGAATTCCTTAAGAACTGTTCACAATAAAAAGAAAAGACATTACACATGTCCTATTTGCCTAAAAAGTAAGTAATATAAGATTTATATTTGATATACATAGGTACCAAGTACTAACCTAGGAGGTAGATGCCTGTCAAAATAATATTACACTGGTTTTTTGGTAACTCAATTTATTTTCAACTCAACTTTTACAATTCAACTATCAACATTAATCAGTGGCAGCTCATGGCCTAGTTTACGAGGAGGCTGGCACACCCTATATACTTAATACAAATATATTTCTGGGTCATTCCAACAAAACTGTATATTCCAGTCCCTGCTTGAATTTAAAAATTTAGACTAATTTAAAGACAATTATTTCCAGGTGATTTATAAAATACACTTTGTTAATTACCTAGTTCTATTTATTTTTGTAAATTAAAAAATATATTTTTTATACTTCATAGTATGTGAATTTCACCTCTGTTAACTGTACCAAGAACTGAAATCTAACCTTTAAATAGTCATTTTAGCAATATATTACAGTTAAAGGTTGAATTTATTAAAATTGACTGCCCCGAATAATTTCCTCATTTCCATTAATTAAATATCTAAATTCTAAATAAATGCACTAGATGGTGTTATAAGGCAATACAGATTGTCACTTATTTAGTTGAACTCTTAGATGAACTCTTAAGTTATGGTAACTATGTTTGTCCAAGTTTTAAGTAATTATATGTAGAGTTTTATCGAGATTTAAAAGAAAATGAACAACAAGTGAAGCCTAATTCTCAGTTCAGTTAACGTCAAAGAGGTGAAGCAATTAAGGTAAAGGTGCTAGTAGTGGACATGTTAAGAAAATAATTACGTGTTTCTGACTTGTTATAGACAGAAAGTTATAATACTCCCAATATCACATAAAAGAGCTTATTTTTGGACTTCCTTAATTGTATTAATAGCTCGCTTGAACCTTCTGGAACTGTCCAGATGCTTCTTGACACGGAATGACGTTTCTAGACATTTCTAGACTGTTCTTTCTTATTCTTTTATTCTTACTTCTACTTATGACAACTGCAGCACACTGTAGGGTGATAGATGACATTGCACTTCTTTCACTCGTACTTTTCCCATAACTGTCACTGCAGAGTAACAATATTTTCTCCACGACCACTACTGAATGTAGTTCTTCTGAAACCACTTATAGATATAGATTTATTGATCTCTCTGTATCATTTAAATGACATAAGACAAGTCACATAGTATACTCATAAGGTACAATAAGTTGATAGACAGTTAGCTAAAAATTATCTTAATAAAAACATTAATGGTTAACACATATTTAGTACAGAATAAAATTACAAAATAAAATTACGAGACCGATAAGTATTGTTAAAATTAGGTGTTACTGTTGTTGTTCCAGCCAATAAATTCGTCTAGAGAATAAAAATAATTTTCAGTTAAAAACAACTTTAAACTGGTCCTGAATTTGTTAAAATGTCTTATTTCTTTGATCGAATCTGGTAGCAAATTAAAAAAACTGTCCTCCAATATACATTGGAGACATGTGATTTGATAAAAATGGTTTTATTTTTATTCGAGTTTTTATTGATAATAAGATGATTTTTTTGACACCAATAAATGAACTCATTCATGTTTATTTGTATTTTCTTAAGTAACTCATCTAAACAATCAGCTACAATTACAATTGTACTGAAGGATAGGTCATTTATGTAGAGCAAAAATAAAAGTGGTCCTAGTACTCCACCTTGCAGAGTTCCTATAAAACTACTAAACTCATCAGATAACTCATCATAACTTATCACCAATCTGCACTTTGAGTGTTACGTTTGGCATATATGAGTTGATCCAAGATTGAATTGGAACTTTAATAACATAAAGAAACTATTCTCATTTTTGAGATTGAAACACTTGCTGCTTATGTATTTCACACGCATTTAAAACTATAGTGTCCAGAATGTTCATTCCAACCTTGTTACAAAATATACTATTTTGATAATTATGGAAAGTTAGATATTTAATTTATTTTACAGGTTTTCAATGTTCAAAATCCAAACTGAACCATATCGTCGGACATTTTGGAAAACGCTCCGCAAATGGTAAGTTTTTTGTTTCATTTAAGCAAGTATATAATTTTGAGTTTGAATTTGATTGAATGTTTTAACAGTATGAACAATTTTTTGTTGCTTCTGTCTTGCCTTCGGAAGGTCGTGGGATCGAGCCTCATGGCCACTTGGCCATTATACGTTTTTCAGAGGTTTTCTCATAGCAATAGGCAAAAGCTAGGTCAGACGTTCTCGTAGATACCTACCACAATGCCTTCAATCCCACTGGGAGAATGAAATACACATCATTTACCTTTATTTTTACAAAACATGACATACTAATTGCTAAACTAAAAGGGTTTGGTGATATTATATTATATTGGATTGATAGTTATTTGCGTAACAGGATTCAATATGTTAAATGTGGCAACTGCAAATCGGTGGCAATTACAGTATCTTCAGGTGTACCGCAGGGATTTCATTTGGGTCCGTTGTTATTCAATTTATTTATTAACGATCTTTCTAGTGTCATCTCTACCAGTAAATACCTCAGGTTTGCTGATTATGTGAACATATTTAGTTTCCAATGAAACAGGTGCTTTGTTACTACAAGAGGATTTAAATAGGTTGTCCCGTTGGTGTGATGTATCTATCTATCTGTCTATCTATCTATCTATCTATCTATCTATCTATCTATCTATCTATCTATCTATCTATCTATCTATCTATCTGAATTAATGCGTGGTTCAGCCCACTTGTACTGAAGCTCTAGGCTTATTGTATCCCTCACAGTTTCTATCCCATCAGATTGATTTTCTTAATGAATTCAAGAATATGTCTGATGGGCGCTTTCGCGATTTCTTCAGGTTCCGGATATTGTACCCCGAAATACCATTCCCGTTCCCATTTAAGGTTCTGACAGTGACATAGTTTGTGAATAGGAGTTTCGTCCTCCTCTTCACATAGTCTACATAGGGAGTCATCAGATATCCCTAAGAGATTTAGGTGTCTTCTAAGGCCGCAGTGTCCCGTAAGGAGTCCTATTACGGCCTTGAGTTCGCTTCTGCTAAGGTTTAGCAGTTGATGTTGTCTGCTCGTGGATGGCCCCTCTATGAATCTTTTGGACTGTCTAAGTCCAGGAAGTTCCAACCAGAGCCTGTGGTGTTCTCTATTTATTTGTTCCTTTAACACCCATTTAACATGTTGGTATGAGATACCACATGTGGGTTCTGGTCCAATAAAAGTTTTTTCCGCTCCCTTCCTTGCTAGGAGGTCTGCTTTCTCATTTCCAAACACTCCCTCATGTCCTGGCACCCATTCAAGGCTGACCTTGTTATGTTCTGCCAGGGCCTGGAGGGACTGTTGGCAACCAAATATTGATTTAGATCAGCGATACTCAACCTTTTTTCCTTCGGGCCACATTCGTATATGTGCTATGTTAGACGGGCCGCAATATTTTTGGATGATGACCTTTTTTTAGGACATCTATCTAAAATTAGTTAGTGGGGATCTCTAATAAATAAAACACAAAACATAAATATATCCCGTTGTGTTACTGCAAAAACAAGATAACTCACATTTTTAGAGTTTTGATAAAACACTATTCAAACGTTTAAAACTGAATAAAAAATCAGTAAAAGCTTCAAACCGTTTATTAACTTCAATGAAGAAGGTATTGAAAACATTGTTCACAAAGTATAAACTAATAATCTATCAATAATTGGTAAAAAGAGAAAGAAAAAACGTCACTTAGCTTATTTTAGCCCTACATATAAAACATAATTCAATGTATGTGTCACTATCTTCAGTCGAAGTTTCAGTAACATTATTGGATACAGGTAGATTGTGATAATAATGGTGAAATTTATCAGGTGTATCTGATTTTGCAAAATTTTAGTAAATCTTTCTTCTTGCACTTTTTTGTAAGTATTTTCAAAACTTTGTTTCATCCTTTCATGCATCCCTCTGAATAAATACTGTGCGAGTTTGGCATATAGAGCCGAATTCCCCACCCTCGCCCATTGATAAATTAAATCTATTTTTTTGGTGGAATGTATTTAGGATAGCTGAATCTTTCGATACGTTGTCTATTAGAAAGTATGGTTAAAATTCATATTCGCCTTTTACCACTAATACTTTTATTCACGAATTTTCACATAAAGATTCGCTCGTTACGGCTTGACGAATCACTCGTTACAGCTTGACCAATCACTCGTTCACCACGGAGATTCGAACATCACGTAATACTATCTAGTGGTTGTTTAAGGTTAGCTGTATCGCGGAAAGAAAGGGTGACGTAATCTCGTGAATTTCGGAACAATCGAGAAAGGCCAGAGACGGCTCTAGTCATAACAAAACAAATGGCGTGGGCATAATGTAATATTTTAACAAACACATTCAACAAAAATAAGTAGCGGCTAACCACTCCCGAAATACTGGTACGTTTTCACTGGAAATCACCGAAATCACTACACATTTTTTCGAAAATTCCAAAATCATCATCTAAAATCATGGTCGAAATCAATTCGTCGCTCACAACCCGAAATGGCGAGAAAAAAAGATCATTGTATAAAATTAAGGTGGATTTTCAGTAAAATCACCTAAATTGCATAAAATTTTTTTAAGTGATTTCCGAAATACAGGTACGTTTTGACCTTATTGGTTTCCCCTTGGTTCTGGCCTTTATCTTGTTTTGGCCAGAACACTATTAAGAATCGAATATAAATATCCATATTGTTAATGTATTAAAATGGAGTTAGTTTTTATTGGCTATCTGTTTATCATGAATATAGACTTCTTTCACACTTCTAGAAAGTGTACCTACTTAACTCGAAAATTCTAAAAGTGGATCTATCTTGTTTTTGCAGTAACCCCACAAAATTCCAAAAAATTAGCATGCCATTTAGCGCTGCGACCAATAATAGTGTTGCGGGCAACAGAAAAAGCTTGGAGGGTCGCATGCGGCCCGCGGGCCGCTGGTTGAGTATGGCTGATTTAGATTGTACTTCTACCCTTTTCAGTGCTTTAAGGGCTGCCTGACTGTCTGTCATGATAAAGATCCTCTTATCTCTAAGAGAGTAATTTAGCATGCCTTTGGCGCAGGCATTTATTGTTGTTACTTCAGCTTGGAAGACTGTTGTCAGTGACCCCAGGTTCAAACTAATTGTCCTCCCTAAGTTCACATGGTAGATCCCAGCTCCGGTGCTGTTTTTAATTTTCGAACCGTCTGTATTCATTTTGTTTTTCCCTGTTTTCTCGGCTTTTGGCCCTTTCTGGTATTTGAATATCGAAAGGTTTCCTGAAGTCGTGAATAATGGGCGTTCTATCCGATGGCATTCTTAATACCGGATTTTGTTTTAATTTCTCTAATATCATTGTGTGGTGTCCTTTTCTCGAAAGTTCCCATCCCAATCCATTAGTAAACAGCCTGTATGCGGCCGCCATAGCCTCCTTCTCCATCACAAGGTGTAGTGGAGGAAGACCTAGCAGTAGCTCCATTGCTGCTGTGGGCGTAGTTCTAAATGCCCCTGTTATTATTAGACAGGCTAGTCTTTGCACCTTGTCTAATTTTCTGTTAGCTGTTATGCTTTTAGTCTTGTGATTGATGAGTAAGTTATAACATGTACTACAACCATAGTGTAAAGCCAGTGCATCATACTTGGTTTAAGCCCCCATACGTTCCCTACCATCCGTCTACAGACCCATAGTATTCTTACAGCTTTTTCTGTTGTTTTTTCTATATGGCTGCAGAAGCTAAGCTTGTCATCAAGAGTGATTCCAAGATATTTAACTTCTTTTTCCCTTTTTAGATGTTGTCCCCACATATAAAGCTCCTTCATTCCTTGAAGGTTCCTTTTTCTTGTGAATGCAACATACAGAGGTTTTAGTCGGATTTGTGGACAATCCCTCTTTTAGGCACCATCTTTCGACGATATTTAGTGACCGCTGCATCCTTTCGGATACAACAGACCCAAATTTACCGTTTACTATGATGCTTATGTCGTCTACAAATGCTTGCGTGTGTAAGTTTTCTCTCTCTAACTCCCATAAGAGGTCATCAACCACCAAGGTCCACATAAGAGGAGATAACACTCCTCCCTGCGGGCATCCCTTGTTAACTGAGACATCTCTTGTTGTGTTAAGGAGATTACTGGTAATGGTTCTATGATTGAGCATGAACACAACCCACCTCGTAATGCAGTGGGCTACTCCACGCCTGTGCATAGATCCCAGTATTGAATTGTATGAAGCCGAGTCAAAGGATCCTTCTATATCTAGGAAGACTCCTAGTGCTATTTTTTTGCTTTCCAATGCTTGTTCAGCCTGTTGAGCTAGCCTATGTATGGCTGCATCGCAAGACTTTCCAGATTGGTAGGCAAACTGGTATCGATGTATCGGTTTATCCCGTAGAACATCGTCCCGTATATATCTATCGATCAATGTCTCCAATGTTTTTAGGAGAAATGATGTTAGGCTGATTGGTCTGAAAGATTTGGTCTCCTCGTGAGACGCTTTTCCGGGTTTGGGAAAAAAGACCACTCTTGCACACCTCCAGCTTTGTGGAACATATCCGAGGGCTATGCTAGCTCGGAATAGTTTATACAGTGGTCCCACCAGTACTTCCTGGTCCTTTTGTAGAAGTGCCGGGATTATACCATCAGGTCCAGCTGTTTTGTATGGTTGAAAGGAATTTATCTCCCACACAGGTTTTGTTCTGCTTACTATTGAGTTTGCAAGAGACCAGTTTGTTTTTGAGGCCCTAGAAATTAGTGCCTCGGTACTCCTGTTCTCTTGGTCAAGAATAATCTCACATCCAGGAAAGTGTGACTTTAGTAGTAAATCTAAAGTCTCCTCCTCTGTTTTTGTGAGTTCTGGCACATTCTGGAAGGCTTTCAATGCCGTCACAGAATTTCTTCCAGGAATTATCTTTGGCTTTCCTAATGACAGCCATGTTCTCTCCGGTACGCCTTATAGGCTTCCCAGTTTCCCGACCTTTTGGACAGGTTAAAGAGTTTACGAACTTCTGCTCTTTTTTTGGAAAGGTCTCGATTCCA